TTTTGTTTTCTGTCTTTTCACTACTGTCTTTCGTAACACATGGGCACTGTTTACCTCTCTTAAAAATAAAATTAGGGACTCATAGTATGACTCACATTTTTTTCTCTCAAGATAACCCATTGCTCATCTTTCATAATAACATCAGTTATAATATTCTTGTGTTTTATTTTAACTTTTCAGACTTCTCACTAAACAGGATAAGAGCAAACAAAATGTATACAAAATTCAAAACAAGAACGAGAGGTGCCTTCAGCTCAAAGTTACATTTGTGGGGGTTATACAAGGTACACTCTACTAGAGTACCTTTATAGACAGAGTGTGGCTATTTCTGTTCCGGTTTTTCATTGGTCACGTGAAAATAGGCTGACACGATGTTCTTACGGCCGTAAATAAACAAACAAGATGGCTGTTATCAGCAAGCAAGATTGAGGTTATGCACATCTTACATCCTTCTGTGATAAAGGTGAAAGGCGATTTAACAATGTTTTCATGTGTTTTTCGTGTGTAATTTGTAGATATGCTAGTTTTAATTGTTACTGCCGTATAATCAAAATTTGTGCCAAATTTAGCTTTTTATCGATGTTACGGTGAGCCGCCATCTTGTTTGTTTATTTACGGCCGTAAGAGCATCATGAAGCCTAAAAACTCGTTGACCAATCAAAAAGCGGAACAGTTTTCCTGTAGTAAAAAGATATGAATGGCCATACTCGGTCTATAAAGGTACTCTACACTCTACTACAGGTATGGACCAATGGAATTTTAGAGAGTAGTCGAAACGCGTAGATTTGGCAGCGTCCAATGGTACGACTGCGACGCCATATTGAAAACTTATTTACTTTCTGTTTTAAGAGTGGGTCTATGACGCGCCTTTTGTACAAAAACGTCGCCGTTTGTCCAGAAACCGAAAACTACCAAATATATACGGGAATGTTAAAATATATGTTACATTATTACTTATATGGAAGAAAAATGACAATTATATAAGCAATGTGCAATTATATGTAGAAAATAATGCAAAATAATTGAGGAAAACGATTGAGAAAAGTGTCTCTTTTAGGTTAGGTGTCATCGATGTTACGGCGATGATGTCAATCGTAAATTAAATTAAACATCTTTAGATTCAACTCAGAATGCTTACACTTACCTTCATGATGAATAAGTTTAAGTGACTAGTGTTTTTTAATTGTGACCTCGCTTTCGCCGTTTCTACCATGAACAGTAAGTATTTCTCCATCATTACGTTGGTTTCGTACAACTGAATGTTGGGAAGGGGTTTGCCGCAGATGCCATGCACTATTTCCTAAAGGCTTATTTCTTTTGCGGCAACTTCACGTCCCTTGAAGATTAAATTAAATCGTTCATTTGAGGGGCTTGCAGGACAAGTCGCCTAAATGAAGTTTTTCCTATTCAGAGAAAAACTTGTTTAAACCTTCAAAATTACATGGAACCTTACGGTGAGAGGACTACTGTATCACTGCGATACCGTCCTATAAGAACTTGTGTCAATTCGTAAAGCAGATATTAAGGGAGGTAACAACTGATTACTCTCCTAATGATACATCCATTCATGACCCTCGCAATTTGTACTCATAGAAAAATGTTCACAAGAGGTTCTATCAAAGGTGGCTCAAGGCCCATTGGTCTGCAACTAAGGCTGTCTCACACACCCTGGATGCTGAAAGCAACGAACTACACCTCGTTGGCTGAATACTATTCATGGTAGAAACGGCGAAAGCGAGGTCACAATTAAAAAACACTAGTCACTAAAACTTATTCATCATGAAGGTAAGTGTAAACATTCTGAGTTGAATCTAAAAATGTTTAATTTAATTTACAATTGACATCATCCCCGAAACATCGATGACACCTAACCTAAAGGAGACACTTTTCTCAATCGTTTTCTTCAATTATTTTGCATTATTTTCTACATATAATTGCACATTGCTTATATAATTGTCATTTTTCTTCCATATAAGTAATAATGTAACATATACATATTTTAAAATTCCCGTATATATTTGGTAGTTTTGGGTTTCTGGACAAACGGCGACGTTTCTGTACAAAAGGCGCGTCATAGTGGGTCTCGTCAATTTCGTGGTATTTTTTCGTGTTCTCAGTTGAGGTTTTCGTTATTTTGAGTTCTATCAATTTTTTAAATTCATCTGATGGCTTATCGAAGCTGACGGATCTACCAGAACCTCATTTTGAACTGCGCGGCAAAGACGGTACGACTTACGACGTCACTCGATGGCCTATAATCTCAGCGCTGCCACTTCCGCACCCCGTTTGTCCATACCTGTAGTAGAGTGTACCTTGGGGGTTATAAAAATAAATGAAAAAAAAAGAAAAGAAAGAAGTGAAGTGTGTACTTTTGTAAAAGCACCTCTCATTTTATTTTCATCGAGCCAATAGTATTTTATTCTTTCGTGAGATCCTTAGAACCAAAAAAAGTAGGCAAGTACAATTTTTGGAAAAAAAAAAGGGGGGAGGTATTTCAACTTTAAGAAAAAGCTTCTCAACTTGTGGAACGATAAACGTCATACGATTTTTTCAAGTCTTAAGATCACATACAATTTTGAAGCTTGAACGTACTCGTTTTCTCCAAATCAGAAAATGAATACTTAACTTATCTGATATCTCCTTTTGTTTCTAAGGACCTCAAATAAGGTGCTTCTACATAGTTCTACTACTTTTCATAATAGGAAGTCAGAAAAAGTATTATTTAATTGAACAAACTTTAAGTAAACTAAAAGCTCCTGGTTTTAAATCGGAATATCATTCCTTTGGCCTTTCCCTTTCCCAAGTAATGGCTGCGAACTGCGACTCGCAAGTCCTGTAACTGTATATCTTGCGTATAAATTTTCACTAAATGCGCCGTGATATGCAGGCAAAAATTTAATTTGGCCCCTAAAAATTGAACTTAACGGGCCAAACGGCTCCTAAAACTTGGAGGTGAAGTTGGAACACTGCAGTTCGGAGGCTTAAAGCATGCATATTTACGAAACTTAGGAATTATATTCAGGAAGAACTTTTTTTTAAATAGTACGACAGGCCTTGCAGTGGGTAATGGGCCTGTTGCACCAATTTTTTTTATTGCTTTAATCAAAAGATTTAAGGCTCCCGATGTCACAGGAATTTTCCCGGAGTTTTTTGATCACCGGAAACCCCCAAAAAATCTACTTAAAAACGCCACAGAATTTGGATTTTCAAAACGGTCGTTTCGGGTCCGCCATACTCGTGACGTGAAATGATATGATAGACCTGGTTTCTTCATCACTTACAATGTATTTTCCCGTAAGGAAATGGCAGCCGCTTATCAAATGCAAATATCGAGTCAATCGATAATTTTTTGATCAAAATGGAAATCAGAAATGGATTCCTCGTACGTTTAAATGGTTTGAACCATCATCAGATAAATAAGAACCGACGGGATAAACCCTATTTTTAAGGAAGACTGTAGTCAATGGGCGATAGTTTACATCTGCTTAGTGATAACAGACATGGACATTAGCTCGATATTTGGCCATTTTCATGAGTTTTTACTTTTTTGTCACTATTTGAAGGTAAGTTTATTTTGTAAGTCAATTGTTCAGTGCCTTAGGATCATGTTAAAAGCTGCAAAGGTATACTTTGTCACTTATTAATTCAGATCACACTCCGGCAGTCCAACGCTCAAACCTGGATGTAGCGAGTCAGTTGTTACTTCTTACTATTTCACTCTTTAATGCTTCACTGAAGACACCAAAATGATAGTATCAATCATTGATGATGAAAAAAACTTACCTTGGACAATACTGATGAGATGAGGAGACCGGTATGATTTAGCTGGAGGCAAGGAAAGTAGACGAAGGATCCTCCTTCGGTTACCAGACTTTATCGATAAATTTTTCTGTGTAGTGTTACATTTAAAACACACAGGATTTTAAAATAACATAAGTTAATAAAACGTGGGAACGTTCTGAATGATATTGAGATGTTTGTTGAAGAGTTAAGAATGATTTACACGCATTGAGAGAACATCCATGGTTTGAGCATTGGACTGCCGGAGTGTGTTCTGAATTAATAAGTGACAAAGTATACCTTTACAGCTTTTAACATGATCCTAAGGCACTAAAAAATTGATTTACAAAATAAACTTACCTTCAAATAGTGACAAAAAAGTAAAAACTCATGAAAATGGCCAAATATTGAGCTAATGTCCATGTCTGTTATCACTAAGCAGATGTAAACAAACTCCTATTGACTACAGTCTTCCTTAAAAAAAGGGTTTATCCCGTCGGTTCTTATTTGTATAATGAAGATTTTAACCATTTAAACGTACGAGGAATCCATTTCTGATTTCCATTTTAATAAAAAAATATCGATTGACTCGATATTTGCATTTGAAAAGCGGCTGCCATTTCCTTACGGGAAAATACATTGCAAGTGATGAAGAAACCATGGCTGTCATATCATTTCACGTCACAAGCACAGAATACGTATGGCTCCACCAATCACAAGTATGGCGGTTGAAAAACAACCGTTTTGAATGGGTCGGTTCCAAAAACAGCTTTTTTTGAGTTTGAGAGGTTCGCTGACATTGGTAGTTCAGCTAGAGGCGTCGTCAGCTAAGTTGACAGTTGTTTACTTTCCGTTTTACCAAATTTGGCCTCTGCACAAAGCGGCCTTCGCTACTATTTGAAAACATCCGTCTCATAAGCGTATCGTAAAAAAGCTACTTATCAGTTACGATGTGCGACTTTTGTGTGGTTGTGATTTCTGTGCGGCTAAAAATTAAAGTGTTACAAGGTTTGAAAATATTAAAAAAATTCATCTAAGCTTGTGTTCTTGCTTCTGCAAGAGTTCGATATTTTCATGTAGAAAGTAGTGACGCAAAAACGCCTGAAAACTGAAAGTAAACAACCGTCAACTTGGCTGACAACACCTCTACTACCATTTCCATCGAAGCCATCACCTTGACACTCTACTTTGATCAGGTAGAAAGCACTTTTAATACATACCATCTGCCAGTGCATCAACCGTTGTGTCTGTGCATCATTTACATGGGTAGTGAAGGATTCTAGTATAATATGAACAGAACAAGACAGAGTAAAAGGCTCTGTGCATCATGTTCTGTAACTGGTCAAGAAAAACACAAGAGGAGGCTGGTCATTTAAAGACCTTTGAAATTACTTAGTTTCCAGTAGAAAGAGACACTTACAATCAGAATGAAATGGCTGAGGCGAGGTGAATGTGGTCTTGAATGAGGTGAACGCAAGGAATCTACTCGACTATGAACTGGAGTCCCTTTATAGACGCTATTGGTACCAATTAGTACTTAGTAGTGCTGCCGTTCTCGCTCAGCCCAAGATTCCGTGATTCGGAACTATTTTATTCTAGAGTACCTGTATAGGGAGAGTAGCGACACATCTGTAACTCCGAAAGTCCATCAGGCCTTCACCGATGCCTCCGCGAATAAAGTTAGGGCCCAAAAGAGCAGCCAACTTATGAATTTCAATTATCCAGAGCGATTTACTGATACTATTGTTACGAACCGTCCATTATAAAGCACGTGTTTGACTCAGTTTTTGCATAAATATACTCAATTTCGCGGAAGAACGCTCATTTCTGTACATTCTTGGCCATCTTGGTTAGAATTGGAATCTGCAGGCCGGCAGTGAAATTTTGTGCGTTAGAAGTTGGTTAGAAGGGTGGCTGCACTTTTGGGCCCTAAGCCCTCCATGAACCCAACAACGAACTACACCTCTAGAATGGCCGCGAGATAGCAAACCTGCGGTACGCGCAAGGGCCGGTTTTTGAAGGCAGGAGGGGGGTGGGAGCCCAAGTATAGCTAACCTCAATCTCCATTTCTGCTGCGTCTTGCCCATAAGGATTACATGTGAAAATTTCAACCTATGTAAACTTTCATTTTTTTTGAGGTTTGCTTTCAAAGTTCCTATTTTTTGAATTAAGAAAACCTTTGGAGGTGCGATTATTATGCAATCTTTTCATTGCTATCACTTTATTCAACAATATTCGGCAAAATGTGGGCAGCGTCTGACATGGGTTTAGATGGCAGCCTGCTGTGTGAGCCCAAGTAAACCTAACCTATATCAACTTCAAAACGTTCCGGGTCTCTAACACTGGTCGGCCATTCTAGAGGTGTAGTTCGTTGGAACCCAACGACATGAACCGATGTGTCGCTACCAAAGACATAAAGACGGAGTGCTCGTATCTAAAAGCACGGGGAAAAAGTGAAGCTAGGTTCGGCGCTGCGCGTTTGTGTGAGTGTGTAAATGAGCGCGGGAATCCATGGCGGCAAACGGAAATTTGATTTGAACTTGTCCTCTTGATTTTTCCTTATTTCTTCTTGGAAACGTGTTTTAAATGCTTAAAACGATTATATTAAGAAAGTTCGGTCTGCGTCCTAATATATTACACCTACTTTTGCTCGGTAACAGGCAGTAATCTCAGATAAAGTTAGTTTTTCTTCTGCTTATGGTGGTTCTGCAGGTTCAAACAGGCCGTTACAGTTCTAGATCTACGTTACTCCCAAATGAAATCAGTCGGTCGACGACGGACCGAAACTAACCTAAAGTTAATAAAATATGAGTGTGTACCTGAATTTGGGCAAAAATCAACCTAAAATACTTTGTTTTCGCAATTTTATTTATTAGTTCCCGCCCTACATTTGAATTCAAACTTGTCCCGATTTCGCCGCCAATCCTCTAGCCAATAGTAGAGGTGATTGAAAAGAAGCTCTAGAAGCTTCATTTTTTGCTTTTAGTGCTCCGTCTTTATGTCTTTGGTCGCTACTCTCCCTATACAGGTACTCTATTTTATTCCGATTATTTTCAAAAATTCCGGGAAAAAGTTCCGAGATTGGCCCGGAATTAATTCCGATTCTTGACGCGGGCTTTTCAAATGGTTTACCCGTTTTATAAGACGGCCGCCCCTTAAAATCACTGTCAGGGCGTCATGAATATTAAATGAACAGTTTCTCAACTGGTTTGGACGTAATTATGACGCCCTGACAGTGATTTCAAAGGGCGGCTATCCTATAAAACAGTTAAATCATTTGAAAAGCCCGCATTAAGGAATGGGAATTAATTGTAATTAATAATTGACATAATTGACCATCTCCCCGGAATGAAAACTCTGCAAATTATTTTAATTTTATATAAATTGAAGATTAAACGTTAGAGATGTAAAAATGACACATTTAAATGGATCAGTCCATTTACTTGAAGCTTTTCTTTTTTAGGAACATAGGTTTTCCCAGCAGCAAAATATTTGCTGTTTAATAAATTTTCAGAGCACTTTTTTTCATTTATGCTACGTCAACTTTTGAAATTTTCAGCTTTGAACTTGTTTTCTTTAGAGTCACTGCAATGGATGTGTAGTGTGTAGTATAGAAGCTTGACTGACACATCCGTTTAGGAAAGGAATTTTTTGGTTTTAATGCATAAATTGGCTTTAATTTTCTAATAATTTATTTTCTTACATGAAAATAACAAACAAATATAGAAAAAGGACAAGGAGAAAAATAAGTACGGCTTGGACAAAAATAGACACGGAATCACTGATAATTAACTATTTACTAAAAAAAAACTGCTTAGTAACGAGCACCAAAACATGATGTGAACAGTTGTTCAGTTCATTTCATTATTTTCATATTTTGATTTTCTTTCTTGAGGTTAGGTTTGGTAGAAAACCGCGGGAAAATGGATACGACACTCGAGAAAAATCTGGAAGACAGAATCCCCATTTTCAGAATGATCATTGCGAGAAAATGTCCAGTTTAATCACAATACTTCCGATGAAAATATAAAAAATTCCTACAAATGGCTTTAATTCCGGGAAAAATCCGAAAAAAGGCAAAAATTTCGGGGGAAAATCCGAAAAAAGGCAAAAATTCCGGGAAAAATCCGAAAAAAGGCAAAAATTCCGGGGTATTCCGGGAATTATAAAGATTCCGGGAAAAATTCCGAGAAACTTCAAAAGTTCCGAAATTCGGAATTAGCTCCGGGAAACGGCAGCACTGATATTTCACAAACAGCTTCTCAACGGTTTGTGGTTTGTGCAGAAAATTGAAGGTTTTTCGGTCAAACTCGTTTGCCGTATCTCGGCATGGAGGGTCGTAGAGGCTTAGGACCCAAAAATGGCGGTGCTTTGTTTTGGTTTTTGAGGATGGGAGGGGGGTCATTGCCAACTTTTGACGGTTTTCACCAACCGCACTTGCTGCCAACCTTACTACATCCGAGATCATTTTTCTCAAAAATTGCACACGATTAGCCTTAAAAATATGTAAAAAAGTCGCAATAGTGCATTTGGGTAAAGTTCTCGTTACGATAAGCAAAGACAACTACATTTTGAATCATTTTGCATTACATTAACTTTATGGCGTCCGCCATTTTTGGTAGAGTCCCTTTATACCCAGAGTTAAGACAACTCGATTATCAGCTGACTGACAGCCGGCCTTGGCTGGCCATGGAGGCCGAAACGAGTGCACCCAAACGAACGATATTGAGGGATAAGGATCAGGAATCCTGCGATGTCTGTCACACAAAAACAACAACATCAACAAATTGATCAATTAAAAAGAAAATGAGATTGGTTTGTGATTGTGAATAATTTCTTATTCTCTTTTCATTTTGGACCGATGGAAATGACAATTTACTCTTGATAAACCACAATTAGGTGATATTTTCATTATTCTTGTTCACATTCGAGGTACCGCCATCTTGGTGCACTCGTTTCGGCCTCCATGAGCGAGAACCAATCAGAATTGGATTTTTTTTTTAGGCCACTTTCAGCCGAACCAAAAGTGAGTTGTCTTAACTCTGGGTATAAAGGGACTCTAATTTTTGGGTCCTCATTCAGCCTAAGATGGCTGAGCCAATCAGAGGTGGTAACTCCAGTGGCCATACTCTCTCAATATAGGTACTCTAGCACGCTCCACCAGCTACTCCCTTGGTCCATGGTCCATGCTCCCGCTCTGTGATCGCCTGGTCGTTGCCTGCAAAAACGTTCAATCGGTGCGGTGTTGGGGTGTTGACAAGAGTACACTCCACTACAGGTATGGACAAACGGGGTGCCGAAGTGGCAGCGCTGAGAAAATCGGCGATCGAGTGACGTATGAAGTCGTACCGTCCATTTGCCGCACATGCCATTCGCAGTCGTACTCTCGATGCTGTCAAATCTACGCGTTTTGACGACTTTCTAAAATTCCATTTGTCCATACCTGTAGTAGAGTGTACCTTGGGGTGTTGACTAGAGTGTTGACAAAATTTACTTTCGGTGTTGTGTTTTTGATTTGTTTTGATTGTTAGCTTTATTATTCTATGGCCAATAGTAGTAAGTGGAATAAGTAGAAGGGTTTTGAATCAAATCTTGGAATCTTTACATGATCTCTCAAGTTTTTTTCAAAGAAATTCTCAGTTCCAGAGAATGATCTCCTCGTGCGGTAGATCTGAGTGCGCTAACTTTTCTCTTAAAATTATCATTCATTCAGATTAAGTACTAAAATCTCACTCTTCAATGAATTCCAATTCTGTACCTAACTACTACTACTAGTCGTCGATCTGCATGCTCCCATAACGCTTGAAATGTTATTAGGTGCATAGTAAGTATAAGATTTTGACAATGAGTTGGTAAGTTAATGGCTGCACGTCATCTACCTGTCCCTCTGCTCCATTGTGTCCTTCCTATCCTGATAATACGTGTCCCAAAATTTTCTTTTGCGATACAATATTTACACCTATGTAATTCAGGCTTGCAGTAAGTAATGCAGTTGAATTTGCTATGAGATTATATGATGCCCCACAGTCACAACTTAAAGGCTGAAACTTTACAGTGAGTAGTCCGAGGCATGGAGAAAAAATGGAGGTGTTTACATCTTGAGGTTTGTTTACCCTGTGACAAAGACATTAGCTATGTTTATGCGAGCCTCTAAACCTAACTTCAATCGAAACCTGAGTTTGAAACCAAGGTTCAAATCACAGCATAAACGATACGGAACTAACGAAATGTAGGTTTCCAAAATTTGTGTTTGAAACCTTATTTTACACTAAAGACTAGGTTTTCGCATTCCACATAAACGAACCGGAGGTTGAAATTCGACTTCAAAATACTTCAAATGCGATTTTCAGGTGCGCGATCGGCAATATGGCGGATTTATTATCATAACGTTCGTAAACAACTGGTGCTTATCCCACGATTTAGCTTTAATTTTGCCATTATTCAACATTTTTTACAATCATAATTTTACCATAATTGTTGCTTAAGCACTTTTACGTGACTCCTTCAGTTTTATGTGGCTTATTTATCCTTATTTAGCTGAACGTAGGACGTTATTTTCTAGTGAAGGTGATTAGTGTCAGATGGAATCCAGG